TACCACAGCATGGCTTTTGCCAAGTGGTGCCATGTCCGCACCCGGGATCCAAACCAGTGAACCCCGGGCCACCGAGAAGCAGAACGTGTGAACTTAACCCCTGCGCCACCGAGCCGGCTCCAGTACATATCATTTTTGTGCTTCAGCCTCTTAGCTGGTTTCCATGATTCTTTTTTCTTCTTCAGAGAGCCTTAATTGCTTTTTGTCATATGTTTCCCCACATCTTATATTAATAATCAACTTCTGCCTTTCAGAGTCTTCACTGATTCCTTAAAGTTTAATACATGCCACTTTGTTCTTTATTTTAGTGTCACCTATATAATACTGGCTGAAGCACTAACATTCAATATGACTATTTCCATAATGGATCCTCAGTAAAAAGAGGAAGGGGGTAGGGTGGTCAACAAGATGAAGTTTCTCTTTTTGGAACTTATATGATACTGAGGAAAACAGATAATAAACAAGTGTATAGTACACTTTTGATGGTGATCAATACTATGAAAAATAATAAAACAGGATAAGAGGACAGAGATGTGGTATTTTAGATAGGGTGGTCTTCTCTGGGGAGCTGACCTTTGAGTATAGAGCTGAAGAAGTGAGGTAGTATAAAGATTGGAGGGAAGAATGTTTCAGAGGAATAAAATATTAAGTATGAAGGCCCTGAGGTTAGAAATGAGCTTGGGTAGTTCATGCAATAAGGCCAGGATGGCCAGAGCAGACTGTGGAAGGGAGAGAACAGAACGTAAGGCAACAAGTTAGCCAGGGCCTGAATCATATAGGTTTTGTAAATCATCAAAGGACATTTGAATTTATTTCTGAGTGTGGAAGGAAACCATGAGAGAGTTCTGAGCAGGAAGGTAAAATTATCCGGTTAATGTTACAAGTTTGTTTTGGCTGTAGGGGAGCAAGCGTGAAAACAGGGAGAGCACTTACAAGGCTATTGCAATGGTCCAGGCTTTAATTGCTTCTCTATAAATGTTAGAGGACTGAAAACCATCCTGAGTAAATTATATTATCTGATAATAGGCAAAAATCTTCTTGTCTTTTAGTGGGTAGAGGAGGATAATCAATAAATTATGATGTTGCTTGGTTACAAACTCCAATGTAAAGCCAGGGATGGGCAATTAGGGGGGAGTAAAGCATTCACTGAAGGACCACATGATACAATAAAACTCCCCTTCTACACATTTGAAATTCTGACTCAATTCCATACTTAGAATCATGGATGCAGACTAATAGCTAGCATTTGTTTATCACTAACTACACGCCAGACATTGTACTAGGTACTCTATATTTGATATCATGTGTGAGGATACTTTATAAACCATAGTACAGAAACAGAAGAGAAAATTTTTTAAAGGTTATTAGGCAGCTCATAAAATCTCAGGCCTGGAAGGTACATGGCCTGGAACAGTATCCAGCCATCCTAGCCAGTACTGCTATAGTGAAAACATCACTGACACTGTGACTCACAGCTACACCTTGTACTGACAGTGCTTGGGAGTGGGTGCCAGAAATGCTACCAATACTCCCTTAAAGAGCTGGATTCTTCCTTTGCTATGCTTACTGAAAAATGGACTTTATGCAACCTACATTGTCATATTGCTCTCTTGCTGGTTTAAGGGATTAAAGCTGCCAGAGAGCAAATCTTTTTCCCAGAGGGCACTTGGGGCCAAAAGTAGAAGTGGGGATTGCTGAGAGAGATCTCTCCAAAGCTTGTAAGACTTCCACCAAGTGCAAGGAAGCCACCATCCCAAAGTAGAGGAGTCAGACTAAAGGTCCAGTAAAGCCCAGACATAGCTTAAGAACTGTGACCTGTCAAAAGAAATAGCATGCCTCTTTCTGGAATTAAATATTTTTTACTTCAGTCTCCACAGTTCTTTTATACAAAATGTCTAGTATATGTTAAACAGTACACACATGTAAAAGAAAGTGTGACCCACAATAAACAGAAAACAATCAATAGAAGCAGACCCAGAGATGGCCTAGGTCTAACTCTACATCTGTGTTGGAGTTATCAGAAAGAGACGTTAATATAACCATGATAAAAATGCTAAATTATCCGGTAGAAAAAGTGAAGAGATGTGAGGAGATGGAGGAATTTCAGTAGAGACATGGGACTTTTTTTTTTTAATCAAAAGGATAATGATAAGGACAAAGATACAAAAGAAAACTGCAGATCAATATTCGTAATGAATATAAACACAAAAATCTTCAGTAAAAAACTAGCAAATCAAATGCAACAGTACATTAAAGAGATTATACAGGCTGACCAAAGTGGGATTTATCCCAGAAATGTAAAAGGCGATTCAACATATAAAAATCAATTGATCTAATACAGCACATTGATAGAATGAAGAACTAAAAACCAGATGATCATCTCAGTTGACAAAGAAAATGTTTGACAAAATTTAACAGCCTTTCATTAAAAACAAACAAAAAACACTCAGCAAACTAGGACAAGGGGGAAATTCCTTAGCATTATCAAGATCATTTCTGAAAGGTCCACAGCTAACATACTTAATGATAAAAGACTGAAAGCTTTTTCCCTAAGATCAGGAACAAGATAAGGATGCTTGCTTTTACCACTGCTATTCAACATTTGTACTGGAAGTTCTAGCCAGAACTATTAGGTAATAAAAAGAAATAAAAGGCATCCTAATTGGAAAGGAAGAGGTAAAACTATCTCTATTCACCGACAACATGTTCCTGTACATAGAAAATCCTAAATAACCCACAAGAAATTAGAGCTAATTAACCAGTTCAGTGAAGTTGCAGGGTATAAGATTAACGCACACTTATCTATATACCAGTGTTTCCATATACCAGTGAGCTACCTGAAGAGGAAATTAAGAAAGCAATTCCATCTGCAATAGTGTCTAAAAAAATTAAATACTTAGGAATAAATTTAACCAAGGAGGTGTAAGACTTGTACACTGAATACTATAAAATATTGCTGAAAGAAATAAAAATAATGGAAATAAAGTAAAATAAAAATAAAATCTGAATATACATAAAATAAAAATAAGTAGAAAGACATCCCGTGTTCTTGGATAGGAAAGCTTAACATTGTTAAGATATCATTACTCCCCAAAGCAATCTACAGATTCAATGCAATACCTATGAAAATCCCAACAGCCTTTTTGCAGAATGGAAAAGGACTTCCTCAAACTCATATGGAATTGCACGGGGCTCCACAAAGCCAAAATGATCCTGAAAAAGAAGAGTAAAGTTGGAAGACTCGCTCTTCCTGACTTGTAACTTACAACAAAGCTACAGTATTTAAAACAATATGGTACTGGCATAAAGACAGACCAATGGAATAGAATAGAAAGCCCAGAAATAAGCCCTTACGTATGTGCTCATTCATTTTCGACAGAGTGCAAAGACCATTCACCGGGGGAAAGGACAGTCTTCAACAGATGGTGCTGGGAAAATTGGATATCCACAGGCAAAATAATGTAGTTGGACCCTTACCTTCCCTCATACACAAAAATTAACTCAAAGTGGATCAAAGACCTAAACTGTAAAACTCTTAGATGAAAACATTGAGGAAAGTCTTCTTGACATTAGATTGGGCAGTGGTCTAAGTATGACACTGAAAGGATAGGCAACAAAAGAAAAAAGTAAATAAATTAGACTCCATCAAAATTTAAACCTTTGTATCAAAGGTCACTACCAAGAAAGTGAAGAGACAACCTACAGAATGGGAGATAGTATTCGCAAATCATATATCTACAAGGGATTAATATTCAGAATATGCAAAGAACTCCTACAACTCAACACCGAAATATACGTACATACAAATATAAACTCCCAAAGAATGTTGAATTTGTTTGTTTGTTTAAGCAGGCACTTAACTTGATTGGAGCCAGCCTGCAAAACTTGTCTCCCTGTGGTTGATGGCAGCTTATAATCTCATTTCAGTTATTTTAGCCTTGGTTAGGCTGCTTGAATCTGTCCTGTTTGTGGATGTTTCACAGGTCAGCCAAAGGGTTGGCAGAGTTTATATGTATAATTTGGAGCTCCACTTCTCTGGCTGTCTCCTTTCTGGGATTTCCGTCTTACTTTCCTGAGGCTATGGTTGTCTCAGATTCTGTCCTTGGTTCTGCAAACCCTTCAGACTATAGATTTTCTATGGAAATTTTAGCCACTCTGTAAGGCTTGGACTGTAGCTTTCCCTCAGGTTAGAAGCCTTAAAAACAGGAAGCACACCTTTTGTTATTCTTTTACATGTGCCAGTTTGCTTCCAGTATCTGCTCTCCATGTTTGCAAATCATTCTTTATATTTGTTCCAGTTTATGGTGGTTATCTTCATGATGATGGGTCAGATGGATGCTACACAGCCATCAGACTGGATGTGGGAGTCTCCCCTAGTGTTATTTGTATACTTCTTTAGGCTCTATTTCTTTTAATTGCTTCCTTTTTCGTGGTCCCTATTTTTGCCTCCAGCACCTCCTGGTCATATCTCTTATCAATCCTGTGTGGTCATCTTAACCCAGCAATAGTGAAGGGTACAAAACAAAGTCAAGTAGCCCAGCTTGTTAATAAGTCAGTTGAGTTTCTAAGTTGGTAACATGGAATTGGCTTTTTCAGACTTTCTACTAAATACTAAAACAAAGTGTCTCTGATTTTAACAGCCTGTTAGAGGATCTGTCCACACTCTGAAGTCTTTAGGTCTGGTCTGGATGGTTAATGTTGCCTGGAATACAGAGTTCAGCCCTCTAAGAAGGCTTTGCAAAATTTTTGTTGACCTAGATATTTATTAAAAAAAAAACCTCTCATCTCTTTGTAACACATTCCAGCATTTCATAACTCTTAAACTATTTCCAGAATTTGGAGGGCTGTTCACTTACTACTTTTTCTGTTATCTTTTTTGAAATAACATTTTATGTATCAATAATATATGATACAGGTATAATAGACTTACTTGTTGTAAGCTTATTGTAAAATGCATGGATAATGAATTGTATTTTTCTGTGTTCGTTCTTCCAAATTAGCTCCTGGGCTATAGTGAAAAGCCGATAAATCTACAGATGTTTATTGGAACAGCAGATGATCGATATTTACGACCTCATGCATTTTACCAGGTGCATAGAATCACTGGGAAGACAGTTGCTACTGCAAGCCAAGAGATAATAATTGCCAGCACAAAGGTTCTGGAAATTCCACTTCTTCCTGAAAACAATATGTCAGCCAGGTATCTTGAAACGTACCCCAAAATGGACAGTTCTTTCTTTTCCTAAAACAACTTTTAGAAAAAGTGTGTATTTTTTTATAGTACAAAAATAAAATATTCATTGTTCTAAATTAACTGAATAACATTATGTAAATAATTTTATTATATTTGCTAAGTTTGGTAGCATATTTCCATAAGGAAAGTTCAATTCAGCAAAAGTTTATGAACCATGTAGTACCAGCCAAGCATCATGCTAGGTGATAGATAAAAATAAATGGACTTTTTCCAAGTAGCTCTCGGTCTAATAGAGTAGACAATAAATAAACAATTTCAGTACAATTGTGATTGGCAAGTTTCCTTCACATGGGTTAGTTGGGGTTATATATAGTTGCCTGTAATAGAAAACTGAAATGCAATGGCTTAAACAGTGAGAGATTTAGTTTTTTATTCCATAAAATAAATATATAGATAGGCATTATAGGGCTAGCACAGTGGCTTGGGGCCCCAAGCTCCTTCTATTTTTTCTTCTGCTATTTTTACTTTTTTTTTTTTTTTACTATATATATATATATATATATATATATATGTATATACATATATATATATATATACTTTTTTCTTTTTCTTCTGCTGCCCAAAGTCTCCTAGTACGTAGTTGTATATTCTAGTTGTGAGTGCCTCTGGTTGTGCTACATGGGCTGCCACCTCAGCATGGCTTGATGAGCGGTGCCATGTCCGTGCCTGGGATCTGAACCAGCAAAACCTGGGGCTGCTGAAGCGGAGCGCGCAAACTTAACCATTCAGCCACCGGGCCAGCCCCTCTTCTGCTATGTTTAGCATCTGGTTCCCATACTCAAGGTGGCCTCACGATCCAGAAGGAATGAGGAGGAAGGGGTGGGATGAAGGATAAAAGAGAACTTCCATCTGAGTCAGGCCTCTTCAAAGAGCCTTTCCCAGAAACTTACCCAACACCTTTACTACATCTCATTGATCATCTTTGTATATAAGGAAGACTTGGCTGTGTTTTTTTCACATTGCCACCTCTAACAATATAGGGGCCTATTACTGAGGAAAAAGGGAAGAAAGGGTATTTAGTAGGCACCTGTTAATTCGCCACATCCAGGTATGTGAAACGTACATTGAAGTTTGTTATAGAAGTTGCTTCAAACTACAGTATGAACCTTTCTTAAAACGGCAGTAACGTCTATCCCAGACTATTGCAAGAACAGTCCTATAAAATCAGATTTCAGTCTCAAACTCTGTTCTTTTGAATTTATATTTAAATAACTTTTTAGGTAAACTGAATATATACCCCTGAAGACATAGCAATTTATGATATAATTTTACTATTGTAAAATAAGAATTGCCTCAAGAAATCGCTTATCCTGTTACCTACTTATTACCAGAAAAGACAAGTTCATGTAAATTTAAATAAAACCTTATTTTTGTCTTCCTTGTTCAAATAGTATTCAAGAACCCAACCCAGTAAGTCATTACACAGGGGCTATGACAGAGTTCTTTCACGGCAAAGGCAGACAGCTAACTGATAATCTCTACTCTTAAGTTTCTGTGTGCTATGATGTACAAAGAACTTTGGAATTTAAAACTCAGCTTTAAACTGTCTTTTTCTAAGAACTCGTAAAATTGATCCCTAGGAGACACTTTGCAGGCCACGTTTCCATTTGTTCCTCTGGATTTTCAAAGCAGTACATTTGAATCAAGTTAAATAGAAAATTACCAGAAGCCTATTATGCTTCGTAACTTTGCTTGAAAGACATTATAAGAAATAGTCATATGAATACCTCCTCATAATCTGGAAAACCCATCATTAAAGATATCATCTCTTTTTTATTTTTTTTAAAAGATTGGCACCTGAGCTAACAACTTGCCATTTTTTTTAATTGCTTTTTCTCCCCAAATACCCCCAGTACACAGTTGTATATTTTAGTTGTGGGTTCTTCTAGTTGTGGCATGTGGGACGCCTCCTCAACATGGCCTGATGAGGTGTCATGTCTGCGCCCAGGATCCGAACCGGCAAAACCCTGGGCTGCTGAAGCACAGCGCAGGAACTTAACCACTCAGCCCCGGGGCTGGCCCCAAGATATCATCTCTTAGATTGGTCATTATTACACACACACACACAAACACACACACACACACAGATTCTTCAAGTTAAAGGAAAAAAGTTGGTGTTTCCTGATGACATGGTGGATTTTGCTTTACCAGGCAACAAGAGACCTATAGTGACTTTATCACATTTACTGTTTGCTTTGGCTTCCAGGAAGTTCATGGTCAAGCTCAGTTATAGAAATTATAGTAATCTCTATAACTCTAGATTTGGGATATATTTATTTCCTGTTCTTTCTACTTAAAACATTTTTCTATTTCTTTTTTCTTCACTTTATTTGTATTTATATTGTAAAATCCCTCATATCCTTTCTAAAAATAATATATAAATCAACAAATTAAAGAAAAAAGAGTACCTGAGTTTCTAAGACACATTCTGGAGAAATTGGGAAAACCTCGCATACTGAATAGTGTAAAAAAATCAAAACAGTAGGATCTAAACATATCTGCCTCCTCCTTTTCCCATCTACTAGCACATGGAACAGAGGTGATGGGACATGATTCATGTCCCTTCCCTAACCAGACCTGGCGCATATACTGCCTGCCTGGATCAGACCGGATAGGACAGAGCTGCAGAAATACCATTGTCACTGGTAACAAGCAGCTTAGTCTCCTCACACCATCCTGCCGTATACATACCTGAAACTTCTCTGGCCATTCTATCCACTCTGGACTATTAGATTGGGGAACATGAATCCTATAGGAACCAAGGCTTTTGGCAAGATTGTGTGTGTCCAAGAAGGGGTTAAGTAAGGAGCAACAAGGAAGTTACCCAAATCTAAGAAACCTTTTCCATGTACCTTAGATAACAGAGTAGCTAATGCTGAATAAGCCTGTTTTACCCAGGAACTATTAGGATATACTTGGGTGATTGAGTGTAATTTAATTTCAGATAGTGGTAGATAAATTTATGGGGGCCAGCCCCATGGCCGAGTGGTGGAGTTTGTGCACTCCACTTGAGCAGCCCAGGGTTTCACAGGTTCGGATCCTGGACGCTGACCTAGCACCGCTCCTCAAGCCATGCCGAGGCAGTGTCCCACATAGCAGAGCCAGAAGGACCTACAACTAGAATATACAACTATTTACTGGGGGGTTTTGGTGAGAAGAAGAAAAAAAATGAAGATTGGCAACAGATGTTAGCTCAGGTGCCAGTCTTTAAGAAGACTAAAGAGGCCGGCCCCATGGCTGAGTGGTTAAGTTCATGCGCTCTGCTGCTGCGGCCCAGGGTTTCACAGGTTTGGATCCTGGGCATGGACGTGGCAAAGCTCATCAGGCCATGCTGAGGCAGTGTCCCAGGTGCCACAACTAGAAGGACCCACAACTATGTACAGGGGGGCTTTGGGGAGGAAAACATAAAGTCTTTTTAAAAAAGAAAAAAAAAAAATTTGTGAATGATAGATAAGAGCGTTATTCAGAATAATTTATGTACAAGTGAGTTGTAGGTATGTATTAAATGGCTCTATTGCTCTCTAAAAGCAGTAAAGTGGGAAAAGATGGATATATGCTCCCTTTGTTTTGCCTACTGGCCCACAGGCTTGGTCATTTCAAACCTAATCTGTTTTGCACATGGAAGACCCTTTATTTAAGCTCAGTATGCTAACCCATAAACCTGTAAAATACTTTAAATATAGGACACCAGTATTCATTGCCCTCACATATTCATAGCTCCTCCCTGTTTTTAAAACTAGATGAATGTGGATGAGGCAGTGTTACACTCTGGAAGTTGTAAACAGTTATTTTCATTCCTATATGTGTACTTTTTAAATTGGTTTGGAGTTTTTTCCTTTTCTTTTTTTGTATTTCTTAGCCAGAGTTTTAAGATGGTCATTTCCCATACTTTTATTCCAAATCTTCTATTAGAAATGGCTCTCTGCTAAAATACCTTCCCTCAAAATTCAATAAAATGTATAACCTCTGATATTTCCCTCTAAAGACTCATGTTGGATATTAACATGAATAATGACTACCTTGATAGAATTTGACCAATACTGCTTTGAGCTAAAGTGTAATTTTTCAATTTTAAGTTAAATATAATTTGTTATACATAAATGACAAATGTTTATTTTCAAAAGCATTTCCTTTCTTAGAAATTTATTCTCCTGTGTCTTTCTGAAAATGAAAATATTCATTCCTGTGGGATTCTTCCCTGTGCTTTACTATTCCTTCGTTCTTACCTTGATAACCTAGTTTTGTAATATATGTTGTCCTTTCAAGTGACTTCTATGGCCTCTGGGCAGTAAGCATTAGAATTGGAGCTATTGGTAGATAAAGGATGGATAACAAGGAAGCTATAAGAGAGAGTAAACTTTAATTAACTAGAATGTCTGATCATTAGTTATCCACTTTCTTTATTTTTCCAAAATGTGAATAACAAAGATATATTGTAGGTAGTTGTTTCCTACCGTGATTGTGTGTTAAGCAGCCATACTTAGTAATAAATTTTGAAGATAATGAAATATTAGACCTTAAATGCCAAAACTTTAATCCTGTGTGTGCATTCTTTAGAAATGCAAGAATCTTTGCCTGATCGATTGCTTTTATTAATAAACGTATCACTATAAAAGTATAAATATGCTATTAATGGCTTATTTGTGGTCTTAGAAGTGCATCTTCTCTGGCCTAGTTGCATGTATAGATTTAAAGAGTCTTTATTTTATGTTTCATTTATCTAGTTCTGTAAAACAAACTACCCCCAAAATTTACTGGCTTAAAGTAATAACTTTATTATTTTTCATGATTCTTTGGATTGGTTGGACTCAGCTGATCCATTCATGTGGTATCAGCTGGGATTACTTAGGTACCTGAATTCAGCTGGGAGCTCAGCTGGGGTGGCTGGAGTAGTTGAGGATTTTCTGGGCCTCTCTCTCCAGTGTGCTAGTTGGACTTCTTCATGGTGGTTCAGGGCTCCAAAAGAGGGAAAGTGGAATTTAAAAGGCTTCTTAAGGGCTAGGCTCATAACTTACACAGTATCACTTGGCGACATTCTGTTTGTCAAAGCAAGTCATTAGGCCGGCTCTCAAGGAGAGAAGGGACATAGGTACTCGACCTCTTAATGGGAGAAGTAGCATGTGACTACAGGAATGGGGAGGAATTATTGACAGCCATCTTTTCAGACAGTCGACCACACTTACTGTTACTTTTGTCATACAAAAACATTTTTAATCCCAAAATTGAAATAGCAGAAAATAGCTATCATACATCTTTCTCTTTTGGCCTGATTTCAGATAGTGATGATAGGTCTGCCCTGCTAAATTAACAGTAGCTATTTAGCTGAGTTATTTAGAACTACTAATTTTCAGTAAGCAAATAAAACTTTTATATTTTTCTCCCTAGTATTGACTGTGCAGGTATTTTGAAACTCCGCAATTCAGATATAGAACTTCGGAAAGGAGAAACTGATATTGGCAGAAAGAATACTAGAGTTCGACTTGTGTTTCGTGTACACATCCCACAGCCCAATGGAAAAGTTCTTTCTCTGCAGACAGCTTCTATACCTGTTGAGTGCTGTAAGTGAGCTGGTGATGATGTTTTAAAATTTTGTTTATAGTAGGTCATTTTCTGTTTTGCTTATAGTGTAATATTCGGATCAAAAGTGTAAACTGAGGCACACAGTCTGGATTGCTGGTGTGATCTTCTTATATGGAAATAAGCTACATTTTTAGGAGAGAGGAATACTACTCTTGGAGTTATAAAATGGCTTCTCCTTATAATTTGACCCTAGATAGCTGTGTGACTGTAAATAAATTCTCTTGACCACACTTTTCTTATCTGTAAATGAGGAAGGAAGGCTTGATGACACCTGAGGACCAAATCATGAAGCTAATACTAAGTGTCACTTGGTCATGTTTGTTTTATTAAAATGTCAGCCTCCATGTTGGAAGATGCCTGTCTCTTTAAGCTGATACCTCAGCTAAATAAGCACTTACAGGATTTTGTTTTTTGTTTTTTTTTTACCATGATTTATTTACAACATCAGACTGAGAAAGTGAATGCTTTTTCCCCTGACTTACAAAGGCAAGAGAAGAGAAAAGGCCCTAGAACCTGATATCTACCCAAGCCCTGGAGAACTGTGGACCTCTGGCAGGTTAGCTGCTAGGACTGAAATATCAAGACTGCTGTTTAGATCTTTAGGGCATAGACTTAGAAGTGTTCTAATTCTGTGTCTTAATCTGGTGTAGGAGGAAACTGAGGCACGAATGTCTCAAGTACTTATCCAAGGTTATTTGCTTGTTGGTGACAGAGCTGTGTCTAGAACACAGGTTTTCTTAGTGCTCTTTCGATTGTACTATACTATTTTACTTCGTTAACCACATGCATTCTTAATTTGGGATCACACCTACTGTATTACCTTTCTACGCCTCCTTTTGCTATTTGCTGAATTCAAGTAATGCTTTATCATTTCCCAGTTGACTGTGGGAATCACTGAGTAAATCCATGGTAATAGAATTCACTGTAGAAGTAATTTTTGCATTAATTTTTGATAGATAATACAGGTAAATGGTACAAAATTTAAAAAGAATAAAAGGATATAGAGTACAGAGCAAATTTCCAAGTCAGCTAGTTCCCCTTCTTAGAAGCAGCTATCATTGCCAGCATCTTTATTATCCTCCCAGAGTATTCTATGCCCATGTAAGCATATATGTGTGTCTCTCTCTCTTCTTCTTCTTCTTCTTCTTATTTTTTTTTGCTGAGGAAGATTAGCCCTGAGCTAACATCTACTGCCAATCTTCCTCCATTTTTTTTTTTTTTTTTTTTTTTTTGCTTGAGGAAGACCAGCCCTGAGCTAACATCTGTGCCAGTCTTCCTCTACTTTATATGTGGGTCACTGCCACATCATGGCTCACAAGTGGTATATGTCTGCACTTGGGATCTGAACTCACAGACCCAGACCACTAAAGCAGAGTGTGCCAAACCCTACCACTGCTCCACAGGGCTAGTCCCTCTGTCTCTTTTTTAACAAAGTAATTTAAATAATTTAAGTTCATAGAGTAGTTTGAATTGTTGAGATGAAGCTACTCAAATGATTTTCTGTATTTTCTTTTAGTTTATTAATATGTGATTATTGATGAGAGCATAGAAAAAGCAGAATGGTACAAAGAATATTATTAAAATCTTTTGTATAATATCACTTCCCCGAGATAGTCACTGTTAACCTTTCTTTGGATTTTCTTTTCTTTTCTTTCTTTCTTTCTTTTTTTTGTCTCTCTCTATATATACATATATACAATATTTTTTAGTTGAGTTTACTTGATATAGTTTTATATCTTATTTTGGTATTTTTCACTTATAATGGGCATTTTCTCATATTGTTAAATATTCTTCAAAAATACTATTTTTATCATATGCATAATTTTTTTAGTATGGCTATGCCATTTGTTGAACACACTTTTGCTGCTACTTTGAATGCACCTGTGATGGCTATTTTCCACCATAAATATCTAAAACTTGAATTAGTTTACTTCCTGGGCTAGTTAGTGCTTATTTTTATGACTCTGTGAGCTATTTGGAACACTCCTGGGGACATAAATATTTTCTGAGAGCTAAGTTGGTGCTCAGTACTTCCCAAGTGGTAGTTGATCCTAAATCCCAGACCCATCCCCAGTGAAAGGGTTTATTTTAACATTCTCTTCAAATGGGGCAGGGATCCCAATTCATATGCCTTTTGTGGCTTGGGAAAATAGTTGAGAGCGACAAGAGCCATAGTGAACTAAGAGTGCATGCTTCCTAAAGGCATTCTAGTTTAAATTTCTTTAAAATGTTGTTCTAGCCAAGGAAAACACAGCTGACCTTCAAAGCTACCAATTTTCCACCCAGGTAATAGGACTGAAAGTAGTCCTGTTTTCCAAATGTGAAGAAGAAAGTATAATCCACACTTCTTTTTACTTGTTTTAATCCAGAGAGAAACCTAGTTATCTTGGCATTTGGCAAGAAGAAATCCTTAGAGAACCTAGGCAATCAAAAGAAGTACAATCAATAGCTTGAAGCTCCAGCAGTTAAAGAAAAAAGAAAGAAAGAAAGAAAAGCCAGAAATATCATCTCTAGAAAAGATACCAACTTGGAATTATTGAATATCAGAGAAAGGTGGCACCAAGGTCACTGTTTCTAAAAGTTGATAATTTAAATAATGACTCTAAGGCATTAAGAAAAATTATGTTCACATACTCTGGGAAGAGTATACTCTGGGTTCCCACATACCTTGGGAAGGAAGAGTGCAGTGTACTCTAGAAACAATTACATCCATTTAAAAAGAATTCAGTATTGAAATGTGCAGTACTTCATGTATGCTTCAGTTACTTAGTTATTTAGAAAATTGTCCAAAATGGAATCTTGATATCTCAATGATGATGTAGATATTTTTTTGACGAAAGGGCTACTTGGTGTTTTTCCTTTAGAAACTTGTCTTCTTTTAATTGTATGCAATTTAATTACACATCTTTCAATTTAATTTGCTTTTTATAATTATATTAGATTTATAAATTTTAACAGACACTTGTAGGAAAGAAATGTAGTAAAGACTTAAGCTAAAAAGAGAAAAATGGATGAAGTGTTGGAGTCACTTTGAAGTTGCAGTCATTAATTAATTTCTCTTTATTAGTTGGTTTCTTTAAAGTTGTAATCTAAGAAAATAATTTAGAAATCACATAACTCTAATAAATCTATTTTGTTTTCCAAGTAACGTTAGTGATTTTAGTGGATATTGTTAACATTGTCTTGAATTTTAAAAGCCTGGAGTTTGCTTCTCTTTATTTTCATTTTATAGCTTGAATTTGTCATTTATATATGCAAGATTGTAAACTAATATTTTGTTTCTTCTCAACTCTTAAAAAAACCCAAAAAACAGCCCAGCGATCTGCTCAAGAACTTCCTCATATTGAGAAGTACAGTATCAACAGTTGTTCTGTAAATGGAGGTCATGAAATGATTGTGACTGGATCTAATTTTCTTCCAGAATCCAAAATCATTTTTCTTGAAAAAGGACAAGGTAAATAATATAAGATTTGAGTTGATTGACCTCAAATGAAGGGGCAAAATAATTCAGGTATTTCACCGACATTAATTATAAAATAGTTTTCCTAAAGCTACAGGTGTCATTTATGCAGATTTTATTGTAAACAAAGCATGTATAAAATTTTTATATAAATGTTAAGTTCTCATTAAGTATATCTCAAAAGTAGAAGAATCCTCCAGTAGTTCTACTTCTAGGTATAAATATACTCAAGAGAATTGAAACTTGGACATAAATGCTTATAACAGCATTATTCATAAAAGCAAAAAAAGAATGGAAACAACCCAAATGCTCATCAGCTGATAAACAAATGTGGTATATCCATACAATGGGATATTTTTCAATCATAAAAAAGAATAAAGTACTGCTTCATGCTACAACATGGATGAACCTTGAAAACATTGTGCTAAGTGAAAGAAGCCAGCACAATATGTCCAAAATCAACAATCCATAGAGACAGAAAGTAGATTTCTGGTTGTTAGGGGTTGGAGAGAGGTGTCACTGGAGAGTGACTGCTATGGGGAAGAGGTTTCTGGAATTAGATAGTGGTGATGGTTGTACAGCTCTGTGAATATACTCAAAACCTCTGAATTGTATACTTTAAAAGGGTGAATTTTATGTCTAATTATCTGAATTGTATCTTAATTTTGAGGAAAGTAGAAGAATCCTGTATCTATCAGGGTATTTGGTTTTAGCCCTTCTTGAGCATATTTAAAACACTTTTCCATCAATTATTTCCTCTCCTGTATTTTTTTAAACATTTTTAAAACTATGAAATACTATTCTAATAAGAATAATATAGCAAATACTCATACCTACTACCCAGTTTAAGATATAGGACATTTACCTTTAAAGGCTTCTTGATACTGCTTTCCAAATGGATCTCTCTCCTGAATCAGTCTTTGCTTATCTTTGTAGTTTTATATATTTTCCCCTGTTTCTGGACATTATATAATATTGCATGTATTCTTCTGAAAATTGCTTTTTTCAGAAATCAACGTAAATGTTTTAAGATTGATCCATGTAACTGAAGATCTTTTGTTTTCACATTGTATGAAGGTGCCACAATTTATTTCCATTCTCTCACTGACTGTCTGGGCTGTGTCCAGTTTTTGGCACTGCCAAATGATAGCTAACAATGCTGCAATGTGTATCCTGGTTCTTATCACCTGGTAGACATAAGCAAAAATGTTATAATTGTTAAGTTTTGTTAATCCAATAGGTGTAAAATGGTATCTTGAACTTTGGGTTCGAATTTCCCTGGTATCTATTGAGATTGTTATGAATCATTCATGTTTTCTTTTTTGTGCAATGCCCGTTCATGTCTTTGCCCATTTTTTCTATTGAGTCAACTTTCATTTTCTTACTGACTTATAGGATTCTTTATACATTCTGGATATCAGAATGAGTTGGAGAGTGCCCCATCTTTTTCCATTCTCCGAAAGTCATGTAGTCACCTTCCTTTGAACATGTGGCAGAGCTTACCTCTGAAACCTTCTGGGTTGGGGGCTGTCGTTGTGGGGAGCTATTAATTTCTAATATAATTCCATTTATGGTTATAGGACCATTTAAGTTTATTTTTCTTAATTTAATTTTGGTGATTTATATTTTTGTAGGTGAATAGAAAAGCACACTCTTCCTGTGTTTCTCCTTTACTCTCACAATACTACCACACTCACAACATTTCTGACACCAGATATGTGGGTTTTCCATACATCGAGTAGTTCTTCAACACCAACTGGGTGTCCTCAGTTCACTTCAATTCAGTTCTGACACTAACTGGAGTTAGTGCAGACCCAACACATTACAGACTCAATCCCATAAGACTCCTCCCAACTTCAGGTGCCAGTTGAAAGTAGTAGGTCCCCAGGTTACTCACAATTCTATCCAACTTGGCTACAAGTCAGAGGTTCCTGTGACCCCCTTCTTGGATTCGATCATTTGGTAGAACAGCTCACAGAACTCGAGGAAACGCTTAACTTAACGTTTACCAGTTTACTATATAATAAAAGATATCATAAAAGATACAGGTGAAGATCCAGATGGAAGAACAAGGTATATGGGAAAGGGAGCAGAGCTTATATGCTCTCTACGGGCATGCTACTCTCCTAGAACCTCCATGTATTAAGCAACTCAGAAGCTCCCCAAACCCCATAGTATAGAAATTTTCATGGAAGCTTCATCACATAGGCATGATTGGATTATTCCATTTACAGCTCCTCTCTGGAGAATGGGAGTAGGGCTGAAAATTCTAAGCTTCTAATTATCGCTTGTTTTTTTTAGTGACCAGCCTCCATCCAGGAGCCCACCAAGAGTCATCTCCTTAGAACAAAAGACACTCCTGTCACTCAGGAAATTCCAACGGATTTAGGACTTCTGTGTCAGGAACCAGGATCAAAGACCAAATATTAGAATAAAAGATGCTTGTAGTGTACTGATCACTTAGGAAATTATAAGAGTTTTAGGAGCTCTATGCCAGGAAGTAGAGGCAGAGACCAATATATTTCTGTTGTGTTATTTCACACCAGAATTTTATTTATTTCATCCAAGTTTTCCAATTTATTAACACTAATTTGCTCATAATATTCTCTTTCTGCATCTGGAGTTACCTTTCTTTTAAAAAATGTATTCCTGCTGTTATTTATTTGTACCATCTCTTGTTTTTTTAATCGTTTTTTCCAGAGTACTTGGCTTTATTGATCCTTTCAGTTGTGTCTTTGTTTTCTGTTTCTCTAATTTCTGTATTTTTCCTAATTTTCACTGTTTTTTGGCTTAGTATTTTTTTCTTAATTTAAATGCTTATCTCATTTATTTTTATCTGTTTTAAACTTAAGTATTTGAGGGTATTCATTGCCCCTGTTGCCTATCTCTTGTAATTTCACTACCTCTTTCTCCACTGCATCCTTTTTTTTTAGTTTAAATACGTTCAAATCTTCTCATCCTAAACATTCTCTTTCTCTTGACTCTGTCATCCTCATAAGCTCTTATTTCATTTCTCTTTCATTTATCATCCAACCTCTCAAAAAAGTAATCCGTCATCTACCTTCATTGCCTTACCTGTTACTTACTCTTTAATTGTTTATCTTTCACTATATTGAAATCTTAACATCCTAAAAATTTATTTGGCAGTCAGCTACCCACTCTCCTTGACACCCTTTTCTTTCTTGGCTTTTGTGTAATTTTGCTTACCTGGTTCTCAGCACATCTCTAACTATTCCTGCTCATCTTTTATTAACCGTTCTTTCTGGCCCTTAAATATAGAAGTTTTCCAAAGTTCTGTATTCAGTTTTCTTTTCATTATATTCCTTCATTCTGGGAAATTTCATCAGCTACCAAGTCTCCTGAACTTCTGACCTGTTTCTTTAATACCCATTGAATATTGCTATGTAAATGTCCCACTGATATTTCAAATATGAAAACATGTCAGACTTCACAAACCAGTTCATCTCACTGTTCCTGATCTTTATTATTAATGTCAGGACCTTCTTCTTCAGCTGGAAACCATGTTTTCATCTGTCTTCTTCTCCCTTAAAATTCACTTCCTTCCAAGTGAAACTTTCACTGTTTGCAGACAACATGATTTTGTATATAGAAAACCCTAAAGAAGCCATTGGAAAACTATTAGAAATAATGTAACAACTACAGCAAAGTTGCAGGGTACGAAATCAACTTATAGAAATCAGCCGCATTTCTATACTCTAAAAATGAACTAACAAAAAGAGAACTCAAGAATACAGTCCCATTTACAATCACGACAATAAAATATCTAGGAATAAATTTAACCAAGGAGGTGAAAGACCTATACAATGAAAACTATAAGACATTATCGAAAGAAATCGATGATGACATAAAGAAATAAAAGATATTCCATGTACATGGAATGGAGGAATAAACATAGTTAAAATGGTCATACTACCTAAAGCAATCTACAGATTCAATGTAATCCCAATGACGTTTTTAACAGAAATAGAATAAAGAATCCTGAAATTCACATGGGGCAACAAAAGACCCTGAATAACTAAAGGAATCCTGAGAAAAAAAGCAAGGTTGGAGATATCATAATCCCTGACTTCAAAATATGCTACAAAGCTATAGTAATCAAAACAGTGTGGTACTGGCGCAAAAACAGACACACAGATCAATGGAACAGAATTGAAAGTCCAGAAATAAAACCACATCTATAGGCAGCTAGTCTTCAACAGAGGAGCTAAGAACGTACAAAGAACAAAGGAAAGTCTCTTCAATAAATGGTGTTGGGAAAGCTCGACAGCCACATGCAAAAGAATGAAAGTAGACGTTATCTTTTGCCATACACGAAAAGTAACTCACAGTGTATTAAAGACTTGAAGGTAAGATGTGATACTGTAAAACTCCTAGAAGAAAATATAGGCAGTTCACTCTTTGACATCAGTCTTAGAAGGCTCTTTTCGAATACCATGTCTACTTGGGCAAGGGAAACAAAAGAAAAAATAAACAAATGGGACGTCATCAGACTAAAGAGCTTCCGCAAGGCAAAGGAAATAAGGAACAAAACGAAAAGACAACCCACCAACTGGGAGAAAATATTTACAAATCATATATCTAACAAGGGGTTGATCTCCAGAATGTATAAAGAACTCATACAACTCGGTAACAAAAAAACAACCTGATCAAGAAATGGGCAGAAGACAAACAAGCATTTTTCCAAAGAAGATATACAGATGGCCTATCTGTATGACAGATATATGAAGACAGGCATATGAAAAGATGTTCAACATCAGTAATCGTTAGGGAAATGCAAACCAAAACTACAATGAGGGAGCTGGCTCATGGCCGAGTGGTTAAGTTTGTGTGCTCCACTTCAGCGGCACAGAGTTTCACCAGTTTGGATCCTGGGCGTGAATATGGCACCGCTCATCAAGCCATGCTGAGGTGGCATCCCACATGCCACAACTAGAAGGACCTGCAACTAAAAATATACAACTGTGTACTGGGGG